GCGCACCCCCCCCCACCCAACACACCCCCCCCCCCCCCCCCCCCCCGCAATGCGCCGTTCCCTGCTGCACAACTCCACGTCTGGACAAGAAAGTCCTGGGGCGGGGGCAAGGGGACCCCCAAGCTACGGATTTCGGCAGTGACAGCCCCTGCAACCCCCTGTCCTGGCCCTGGGGGAAAACACAGGTGTGCACAGCCCGTGGCCGGTAAACAACAACTCTTTACTATGGCAGGCAGGGAAAGTAAAGGGATCGCGCGCCCCGGCACGCCGAGCACCGGGCTCACGCTGAAATTATCTTGCCAGCAGCGTCAGTGTGGCCGAGCTGCTCCGACAGCCCTATTTGCGGAGGACTGTTGCCAAATTAATGAGTTACAGGACCCTTCGTGCTCATGCAGGGAGGAGAAAGCTGCGCCGCAAGGCTCACGCCGTGGGACTCCACTTTCAGGTGTCCCCCCGCCCCTTTCCTCCCCCCTTCCCCCCCCCAAACCCCATGGTGAAACACAGGCAGGTAAAAGGCTCGTCCCCATCTACACAATGGCCACAACATGGACACAGCACGGCAGAAAGGCAGCTCAGGGCGTCCCGAGCTCTCAGTGCCATGGCAGGGAGCAAGCCATGGCCGCCCACCCAGCATGGACTTCCCACAGCTCTAGCCGGGACAGGGTCAAGGAATCCCCACGGGCAGTCAGTGCTGGTGCTGCGTCCCCATTCTGCACGGGAGAAGTGAAACGTCCCCTGGAGACCATCCCCACCGCAGCTCCTCTCCCACCGGTGCCCACTCTGGCTCAGGAGGGGTGTCGGCTGCCCGTGCTGGCATGGCTCGGCAAGGCTCCTGCTCCCCTGCCGTGGCTGGAAGCCCCCGGGTCCCCCAAGCTGCCTCCAGCTCCGTCCGGCTCAGCCCCCCGAAAGCAGCAGGGCCAGACGCCCAGAGGAAGGAGCAGTGGTGGGTGCCTATCCCAGGTGGATCCGCTGATGCCTGATGAGGGCCGAGCTGACGATGAAGCTCTTGCCGCAGTCGCCGCACTTGTAGGGCTTCTCCCCAGTGTGGGTGCGCAGGTGGGTGATGAGGGATGAACTCTGCTTGAAGCTCTTCCTGCAGTGGGGGCACTGGTAGGGGGTCTCCCCGGTGTGGATGCGCTGGTGGCGGATCAGGGCCGAGCTCTCGAAGAAGCTCTTCCCACAGCCGGCACACTGGTAGGGCTTCTCCCCGGTGTGGGTCCGCTGGTGCTTGAGGAAGGCCGAGCTGTAGCTGAAGCTCTTGCCGCAGTCGGCGCACTTGTAGGGCCGCTCGCCCAGGTGGGTCCGCTGGTGCGTGTTGAGGTTGGAGCTGCGGTTGAAGCTCTTTCCGCACTGGGGGCACTTGTAGGGCCGCTCGCCGGTGTGGATGCGCTGGTGGACGACGAGGTCTGAGCTCCAGCTGAAGCTCTTCCCGCACTTGGCGCAGGCGTAGGGCCGCTCGCCGGCATGCAGCCGCTGGTGCTTTGCCAGGTCCGAGCTCTGGCCGAAGCTCTTCCCGCAGTCGGGGCACTTGTAGGGCCTGTCCCCGCTGTGGATGCGCTGGTGGGCATTGCGGTTCGAGCTGCGGGTGAAGCTCTTCCCGCAGTCCAGGCACTTGTAGGGCTTCTCCCCCGTGTGCAGCCGCTGGTGGATCAGCAGCTCCGACCGCCGGGAGAAGGTCTTCTCGCACTGCCCGCAGGTTTTCGGCACGTCCCCCCGCCGTGCCCGCCGCCCCCCTCGGCCGCTGGCCGCTGCCCCACCACGGGGGGGGCGTGCTGGCCGCTCCTCAGGGGGGCTCTGGGGGTCCCAGGGGGCGCCGCAGTGGCTCTGGCAGGCATCCCCGAGCACGGGGCTCTGGGGGACACCCTCCTCAGCCCCCCGGGACAGGATGACGTCCAGCTCTGCCAGCTCAGGGCCGTCCGGCTCGGGAGCCTCGTCCTCGTTCTCGCTCCCCGTCCCGTCATCTGCCGGGGCAGAGAGAGACAACGCCGACAGGAGTGATTCCCAGCACCAAGGGGAAATAGGGGAAGCCTGAAGAATTCGGGTGGACAGCTGCCAAAGGCCGATCCCAGAACAGAGGGCAAGAAAGCTCTTCCCGACCCCAGCCCGGCAGCTCCACGCAGAGCCCTGGATACCTGCCAGCTTGGGACGCTCCCTGAGATGGAGGAGCGGGGGCTGCCGCGGGGCTGTTGCTAAAACCTCCGGCCCATTCGGGGTGGGTTCCCGGCTCACCTGCGGGGGCCACCCTGAGGATCTCCCATTCCTTGGAGTCGTTCGGGTCCGGCACCCCCAGCTCTTCCTCCAGCTCCAGCCGGGAGATGACGTTAGGCTTGGGAATCGGGAAGTCTGCTCCAGAAAAAAGGGGTAAGAAGACACCGGGTTTGTTACAGGTCTGTTACATGGGGTTTATTGAACACTATACATATATATACACATATGTATCTACGTGTATACACACACACACACACACACACTTTTAAAAGGAAATATGACATTTTGCGTTCAGGCAAGCAACTGGGAGAGAAAGGCAAGAAAAGGCATTTCCAGCCAGCAGACCGTGGCTGCTCGGCAGGTAACCTCGCTTCTGGCATCTCCCGTCTTCCAAGGAGGTATGTGCCATCCCAGCACTGCATTTCTCTGCACCCAACACCTTAAAAAAGCCAAACTCCCACAAAAATTGCATTTCCTTTTCCGCCTGCACCCATCAGCTAAAAAGCATGTGCCATGGTGTGCCGAGAAGGCTCGCGAGATGCCAAAGGCAGGCGCCCAAGTCCGCGGTGCTGGCTGTGCCGACGCACGGCGGGGACAGCTTTTGTTCTCGCCGCACCCGCAGGATGCGTCTTTTTCGGCAGCAGATTGTTTTTTGGCGGCAAAGCCCGGCACGTGGCAGGGCAGGTGGTGGCACGGAGCGGGAGCGGGCGAGGACACCAGCCTTACCCAGCAGGATCAGGGACTCGTAGCTCTCCTGCATGACGCCGCCGCCGCCAGCACCCACCGGCCGCCGCCGCTTCGAAGCCCGGCAGCCCCTGCAAGAGAGGGAAAGGGGGTTCAGGGGTACCCCCCAGCGCGGGCACAGAGCAGCCGCGTCCCCCGCTCTTGCCGCGCTCCCCACTAACCGGACCTGCGTGGCTTCTTAGGCAGGCACGGGGGGCTGCTGGCAGGGCCCCGCCGCCCTCGGCTGGGCATGCAGGCGCCCGAGCATCTCCACTCCGTGGCCCCCCCGCCCAGCGGGGCCGGAGCGGGGGCACCCGCCGGCTCAGCGACCCCTCCCCAGCTCCGCAGAGGGACCCCCGGCACACCGGTACCTGCGGGCGGGGGGGCGGCGGGGGCGGCCGGGGCCGGGG